TGGAGCAGGCTGTCAGAATTGGACCCTCGTCCGTGGTATTACCTGCCAGTGAGACTTCAGTTGCCCAGCCTGTGGCTGCCCCTTCCACCTCTTCCACTCCTCCCTCCTCCTCTCTTTCCACACTCTCTACTCAACCCCAATATGCTGTAAGGCCTCCAGAAGTAGGCCCTGAGCCTGTCTCAGTTAAGCCCACAGAAGTGAGGGAGGAAGGATATAGGGACGCTGGACAGCCCCCTGCCACAGACGTTCACACCCCTCCTCATTCTGAACTAGGCCCAGAGCCCAGTTGTACACAAGGCCCCTCCCAGGTGCAGCCAGCTCCTCTCGCGCTTCAAGAAGAGGAGGATGAAGATGAGGAAGCGAATGAGCTAACTAAACTCAATGAGGAGTTTTATGCTCGCCTCTGATCCCTTCTGTCTCCTCCCGCTGTCTTCTATTCCTCTTACTGCCCCCAGCTGCTGCCTCCCCAGGACTGATTACCGATGTTGGCGGGATGTCTTTTCCTTTAAGCAAGTGTCTTTGGCATGGAAGACAGACTGGTCACGTCAAAAACAAAACCAGTGGATGCAGTGGCTATAAGATTGTACTTGATGTCTTTCCTGAGTCCTGGGGCGGGTTTTACCTGTGTTGAGCACAGCAGTTTATGATGGCGAACAAGCTGAAAAGGGAAAGAGGGATCTGTTGATGTTGTTGTTGTTGATGCTTTTGTTATTAAGTGCCTTCAGGATTAGAACAGTGAACAAAAATATGAATACTGAACAAGTTTTAACAATGTTAGACTACAGAATATGCTGTGGTTTCTTTTTTCATGCTTTTATTTTGAATGCAAGTATTTCTTACAGAAATCATTATTGTCGTGCCATATCAACTGTTTTAACTTGATCAAAGTCCCGACCTTACTTAAGGGAAAATTATTTTAGATTTTATATAAGTGCCAATGCAGAATGACAGGCGGAGCAGGAAACTTTGGGAAGAATGAGGGAATCACATGAAGCAGTGTTAATTTATGTATTGTGCTTTGACATCAGGGCTTAATACAGTATTCATTTGTGCCAGAGTCTCACTTTCAAGGGACATGCAGGCTGCAGAGATTTTAGTTTGTGTAGCAGCTCAATGCACATTTTAAGCACAGGTCTTGCACAGTGTTTTTCTTTTTTTCGACCACTTGTATTCAGTAGTTATTACCAATAAATAGCTTTTAAGAAACTTTAAACAGAGCTGAGAGAATCAAAAGGACAATAATCAGATAAGGGACTATATAGATCTGGAAGAAAGGTGGTTTGAAAAAGTGAGACCATCACAAATGCAGGAAGGCACTTTAAATATAGTGGGATCTGTCTTTCAGGTATTAAACGCTCACCTCTCGCACACATGTCCAATTTTACAGGTAGTGTAAAATTGTCTCGATGCGAGCTAGCTGATATTTCAGCTTTTTCTTTGATCAGAACCACTCCTGCTTGGAAGACCAAATATCTGTCTGGTGATATTTTGTATTTTTGTTTTGACCAAATGAAAAGAGTGAAGAGGAAGTCAGCAGCGTGTTGGCCTGTCTCCGAATACAGCCACTCTCCCATTTGCTCCTACTGGAATCCTGATAAATAGCCAAAATACAAGAATCACTCATTCAAACTACCATAAATTGAGTACTCCCATTTACCGTACTAACATCCACACCAACAACACAGATTTCACTCATTATTAATTATAAGAGAGTCCTAATAATGCTGGGAGGTAGTATGATACTTGCAAGTATTGGCAGTATTGGCAGCTTTAATGTTGTTTTCATTGGAGTCAATAAGTCAAATGCAGAATATCACCATTCCTGTCTTCTGATGAGGTGAGCGCTTGATACTCGAAGGATTTCAGGTGAAGTATAACTTTAAATGGGACTGTGAGGGACAGTCACTGCGTAGTTCTTGGTCAGTGATGGGGTGGTCCACAGGCTGTTGGCGTGGGTTTAAATTTAGAGATGAGTGACAGTTTCCACAGTACTGTGTGTAAAACCTCAGACTCAAATCTTGTGACTTTTCTTTAATTTCCGTTGCCTTCATTGCTAAAAGAAAAAATATATATAAACAATGGTCAGCCCATCCGTGCAAATTACCCAACAGATCATTGTCGTCTGCCTTTATCTTTGTGATTTGCTGTTGAAAGATTGGGACGTATTACCTTGTTCCTGTCAGTCTTTTCACCAATCGGGGCCTCTACTGAATCAATAAAATTGTGCCACTTTAATTGAGTGATTATAGGTGCAGTGCAGCCTAATCTAGCTGATTGTTTGTGGTGCCTGAAAGTATGACTGTATTTTTTTCTTTTTTTTTAGTTTTTGGTTTCCAGAAAGTTTTTTTTCTTTCATTTTTTTTTTTTTACCAAGCTGTCATTACGCAGAGGATAGATTGTGATTGTATATTTGAGAAAATTAATGGTCATTGTGTGCAGGTTTTGTTTCTTTTTTGATAAATTCCAGATACTTTTTTGTGCTTCTTTCCAGTTCTTTCCTCCTGACACAGACCAGCCATCTGGAAAAGTGTGGTGGTGCTCCCATTAAATCGCTTGCTCGTTTTTCTCTTTCCTCACTTCATGCTTTGTCTTTTCTCCTGAAAGTACGTGTTTCTCTCTTATATTTCCTAAGTGTGTGAGAAATATAAGGTTTTACGTCAACTCAATCATATAAAAAAGATCGAAATGGGGACAGTTTGCTATTGCCTTATCTAGAGATTATTCATTTTCAGCTTTCACCACCACATGTTTAAAAAATTAGTCAGCAGTTGGGTTAGATGGACTTTCTCTGTTCACATGCAAAAATGCCAAAATGACAAGAAGGATGAGTTATGTAGCTGTCGGGACCTGTAGCAAAACATGTTTATTTACCTCTTTCACTAAGCTCTCTGGACGTACACAGCCTTTGCCTTTTGAATGTGGACTATGTTTAATCATAGCATCAACTTTCATAATCGTTGCAGCATTAATACCCTGAAAATCCAAAGAGGTTTCTCCAGAAGCCGTCACTGCAGACGCTGAAATAGTTAAACGAGTCCTGCTTTTGTTGCCCAGAATCATTACTTTTTGAAAGATTTACACTACTTGTACATTTTCTCCACTTGCTCTTGTTTGCCAAATCTAATGAAGCATAGCACACAATGTAACACAAATAAAGGAGAATATCGAGTATCAGCTGTGAAGGAAAGTTCACCGTCTTGTTGCCTTGCGTTGTTAGATGATCTATGGGATTTTCAGGCCATGTGCCTGCAGCCCTACCATGCACAGCAGTGACACTAACTAGCCATAGATCTGAGGTGGCGTAGGAAGAACTCCACAGGTTTGTGGGTACACATCCTCTCCAGTAGCACTAATCTGTACACACACATATGAATAAAATATTACACGCTGCTGACTTATGTGATCTGGGGTGCAGTAGGGGGAGATGTGTGTGAGTGAGACTTGTTTGCATGTGAGTAGTTTCCTTGTTTGCTAGTCTCCCTATTTTTTGTTTGATTCTGTACTATACTGTCATCCTATTTCATTTCAATGTCATTCTACATATATGTTAATTATTATGCATATATTTCCAGTATTCAGGAAATTCAAATCACTAAGCTTTGCTCATTACCTGAATACTGTCCTTCTTTGACAGTGTATTTATAAATGATTTGTTTCAGTTTTGGCAGAAGCTAGTTCTCCCGTTTTTAAAAAGGATAAGTTCATGGCATTCAGTCATCTCTTTTTTTTTCTTTTCCTTTTGGAGAAGTGTGATTCTGCTTTATGACAGAAATAAGGGAAATACATAAAGGCATAGAGTGTCAGCACTTAAGCATCACATTGTCACTCATTTTAAATTATGTCAGCTGCACGTCTTTTCATTATAATTTGCAAGTAAATTCTACCCGTATGTGTTCTAAGTTACACTGGGACAGATTTTAAACAGTGTTGTTTGATTTGAAATGTATTTGTTTTATGTTCATGAATGAGATGTATAATGTACGTTTTGTGCACATTACCCATGTATCATTTATCAACACGTGATAGTAATCTGTACACATTTGCACAAAGCACTCAGTGTTTGTACATATGCAGTTATTTTGTCACATATGATTTTTTTTATACATGTGCATGTGTCAGATTCTGTCCAAAAAACAATGAATAAGAGACACGTATTATCAGATTGATTTTTGTGTGTGTGTTTGCTTATGTGTGAGTTATATGACTTTATTCCTCTTTTTTTCAGTATGAGAGAAATAAATCTCCAAGCAGAAAGCTTGGACTGTCTAGCATACTGTAACGTGTAAAGTCACGTAGAGTTGCATTTCTGTGCATATAATGAGTGATGACAGACTGTACTGTCATTTAGTTTTGTATTATTAAAACTAAATAAGAGGTGAGGGAAGCAATTTGGAGATTCTCAAAAAGGCAACATGCAAATTAGCCAGGTTTTAGGGAGGATTAGGCCTAACCTAAAAGGTCTCAAAATTGGAGACAGGGTTGTGATCTTCATCAGCAGCCAGCTGATGACTGAAGTTGGGGCGCAGTTTATATTAACCAAGTGCATTTTAACTGCAAGAAGGTATGTTTTAATAATTTGTTGCAAACTGTTAACAAATTTAAAAGAAGGTTAGTAAAACACGATTTCAAAAATGACAAATAAGTGGCTAGAAACTGACAACTTTTAAGTATTTTTTTATTGTAGACGGAAAAACTCCTATATGATGCAGAGATTCATATTTTTCCAGTTATTAAAGGAAATTCAGATCCTTGAAATGTACATTTCATATCTAATTTCTTTTTTCCAGAAAAAAATACGTGAGTTTGTAAAAATAAGGTAAAATATTTAAGTTAACATCTTAAAAAAAGATATTTTTTATTCATTAATGTATATATTTTGCCCCGAGTTTACAAAAAAGATGGGATCAAATGGGTTGTAAAGTGCATGTGTGAATCACTGGTTGTGCTGTAGCGCCCCCAGCGGTCAGCGGTGACGGTGTTTTCACGTAGGGCGTGAATGCGCGGCCCCTCCCCCTCTACAGCCGATCTGGAAAAGAAAAAAAAAACTTTTTTGTACCGAAGGAATCAACAGCCGCCATCTTGTCGTGGCTCGGAATTAGGATTTCGGTCCAACACTGGGTTTTACGTAGAAATCGAGCATCCTTCCCGTGATATGACAGCGGCCTTCTGCCGAAAACGAAATCGTAATATCGCTTCGGAGACATTTTGTGCGAAAAAACGGGAATTGGATTGGTGGTCGTCGGGCAGAAAAGCTCCGTATATCTGATTTCCCCTTCAGAGTGCGGTGATTCAGCCCCTGTCGCCGTTCGGGAGCAGTATTGTTTACCGTGGGCAAGCGGTGAGCAGATCGTGACTTTCGAAGAGATTTGCAAAAATACGGCATTTTTATGCAATTGTGCATTTTTGTGGAGCTTCGCGCGATTTTTGCATGAAGAATTTTGACGTCACGCAAAATGGGTACTTTGAACATCTAGAAATTACGACTTTTCTCCCGGAATGCAGCAATCCACCTGATTTAACTGGATCGTCAGTGTGAGGCTCGATTTTTACATGGGGAATATTTTATTTTGGGGTATTTAACGATAATAATGTGGGTGTTGGGTGTTGGATTATCATGGGGTGAATGGCGGTGGCGAAGCGGGGCGCTATTGCATCTCTTTTAAAAGACACTGACTCTCACGGCGAGGAGTAGCTAAACGCTAACAGTTACTTTAGCTGGTAGCAGGCAATTAGCTAGCTATTAGCCAGTTAGCCAACGTTAGCAGGCTGTCAGCTTGCTAACGTGCTAACCGGGAAGGTTTTTGGTGATTGAACAACTTTCTACTAATAAGCTAATCAGAATCATCAACTTAAGCGACCGGCCAGGCAAGATTTCAACTATGGCTGAAAACCTGCTGGACGCCGGACCTCCACTCTCTAAGCGGCCGAAGCTGAATTCACCTGCACTGTCAACGTCTGATGGACAAGGTAAAGGCCTCGACACTGTCGGCACACACAAACCCAAATGTAATGAACATTTGCACTGAAACTTCTCTTTTACTACTTGGCATTAAATCAACCAATGCCCGTGTAGCAACGTTACACGTTATCCAGTCGGTTGGTTGTTCTTTCGGTAGCAGTTAATGTGGTTTTACCGCAGTGTTGTGGTTTCATTCTGAGGTGAGCATTTACTGCACCTACCCTTAATACGCTAATGCCAGTCTTTTGGTACACTCTCCTTAACTTCTGCAGCAAACCTTAACACAATACGATCAGCAGAATAACTAACTTGAGCGTCTAAAATGGTCATGGCTACAATAACTGTAACTTTTGTTATCTTCAGAGGTGTTGCATTAGCTTTGCATTGGTCTACTGTAACGCTTTCGTTAGTAAAGAGAATTTGATGGGTCATAGTTGAAAAATCAAAAGACTAAAATAATAATTATTTCTCGAATCAGGTGCAAAGTGGTATCTTTTGTGGTAGCCTGATACTGCATTAACAGCAGGTACACATGGCGTGATAGACTCACAGAGGTAACCTAGGCCCTAATTAGCTTAAATAATATTGTCTTCAAAATCACAAATCACATACGACTTAATGCCAATGTTTGTACACCTGTAAATTCTAAGTCTGACAATGTTTGCATCCATTTCCATTTATTTCAGGTACGATTTTTGGTGTGTGTAATCACCAGTCAGAGAAAACGGTAAATGTTAACATTTAGTAGTGCCCACTTGGTTCAGCTTGTGGCTATAAAACGAAGTGTTAATAGGCAAAAAAACAACAACCCAAAAACCTAATCTCAATGGCCACTCCATCTATCCCTGAGCAAGCCTACATAGCCACACTCAGTCTCGATGGTGCTATTTTCCTTTAACTCACTGAATTCTTGCAGAGAGTGCAGATAGGGTTATAACGTCACACATCTCAGCAGACGTGTGCACTGCTGAAAATAAACGTGTAGAAATGCAAGATAGAAATCTGTATGTGTGCTCTGAGTATTGGAATCTGAGTGATTAGGAAATGTCTGTCATATTTCTTGTAATTGGAAAGCAAAGATTGGGGATGCAAGTTCCCACTTGGCCCTTAAAAAGTTCATTTGTATTATAAAACAAGACTAGTGCTTATTTTAAATCAACTTTTTGACTTGTTCTTCCAAACTTTATAGCTGAAATTAGAAAGTCATCTGGAGACTTAAAAAAATCCCTTGAGTAACATGTCTTTCTTCTTTCACCTGGTAGATTGTCCCTGCTTGTTTTTGTTGAGGTGGTTTGTGAGCCCTGAGTGAAAACCTGAGTTATCGCAGCACTCTTAACTCATCTGCTGTACTGTGTGGCAAAAGTGGAGTAGCTGAACTGCATTTCTGCAGCGCTCGCTGTTTCTGTGATGGGAAAATGCTGCTCCTGGTATGAAGATAAAGAAATGAGTTGATTTCATATTTTCACCATAATTGGAAAGTAATGTATGCTTTACCTGCAGAAGCACCCCCAATTAGAGTTAAGCTACAGCTCAGCAATTAACCAAGTATAATTTCAATTCCAGTTTTTGTATTTCAGTGAAAACAAAGTGTTAGGGATAAAACTCATTTTGACTGCAAAGCTCTCTCTCTTATCTTTCTCCTGTGTGCTGTACATCAAGCACAGACCTTTCATTTATAGTGCATATTTTTGCTGTTTGGTTCACTTCACGCCACAGTGACATTTTAGCTGGAGTCCAGCGTTAACCAGATCTCTCTAGAGTAGTTAAAAATCTCATTGTTTCCATTGGTGAACTTGTTGAATGATCATTAGCAGTTACTTTTGTCACTGTATCACTCAAGATCCTTCATCTGGTCTGTTTTCTGTGCAACAATTGCACTTCCAAACATCCCCTGGGGATTTTCCACAAATTTACAGGCTTTACAGTCAAAAATACCCATTAGTCTGGACCTAAAATGTATTATCAGACTCCCATGTGTCCTTTCTGCTCCCTTTACCCATTGTTTTGATTTTATTTATTTTTTTAATTTTAAACATATGAAAGGCTTCTGTGAAAATACACTGCATCCAAAATCTTTTTGATGTGGGTAGAAACTCTGGCTTACTGTATTAATCAAAGTCATCTTTATTATGATTTTTGCTGTAATCGAGGCACATTAGGTTCCGATGTAAAAAGTCCTATTTGTTTAGCTGGTGTCTTGTATGTTTGCTTTTTAACCAAGAACTGAAACTTTAGAGCCCAGAAAAGAAACATTAAACTAATGTGTTTTTCAACTGTATCGTTTACAGCGTGTGGCACATTAACGTCTTGAAAACAAAAGAAAGCTGTTTTTAGTCTAGATGCTATTAAGGGTAGCTGTTGGCCCTCTGTTAGTGAAGTGCTGCTGTTAAGCCTTGAGCGGAGCATTTTTGTTTTGACCACCTTTAGCATTTTCGAGACCAGACTTGACTTGCAAGGAGTGAGTTTAACTGTCAATCTATGTGATTGATAAGTTGCTAACTAATGGGCATGTCCTGGATAATCCTTCTTTCTGACTCTTAGAGTGACCATAATTTACACAATGAAGTGACTGAGCCCTTAAAATGATCACTAATGTATGTTCACTGGGAAAGAAAGCCATGGGATTTCCTTTTTCTCTTCTGCCATATATAAGTGGACGTCTTTTGCAAGTTTGGGGTGTCCCTGCTAACCATTAAAAAGAATCAAGGCACTTTTGTGTTGGCTTTACTCTCACGGTTGCTCTTTTTTCCAGCTGTGGATTAGGGAAACGAGACCTAGGACAGCAATGTTTAAAGTTGGGACATGTGTGACTACAGAGGTTGAAATGTGGTTACTACTGCTAGTTGGCTCCAGAAATATTAGCTGGGTTAAATGCCGTCTAGCCATTGAGTAGTGCTGCACATTTCTGCTGCTAACACAAGTAACAATAATCACAGTAGTTTAGAACCATATACAGTGCAGAATAGGTTCAATATAACGATATATATCGGATGACAATATGAAAACGCCTATCATTTCATATTACGCTATCGTTTGTTTCGTGGTGTTGCAAAATAAACTGTTTTCGGCAATATTTTTTTCATCGTTTTGATGGTCACTGTAGAAATTCTTAAAGTTCTCTCTTTTTTTCTTCTATTTAATATAACCACACTACGGACGGACAAGCGACTGTTTTTATGCATTGCCGTTAGCAACAACAACGGTAAAACCATCGCGTGTCTCCACCGTCCGCTTGTTTATTTTCCACATAAACCTTTCACAATAAAGCTGAAGATCCTGTTGTGATTTTTCAAAATAAACTGAATCACGTGAAATAGTATGCAGAGTGTTTACGGACGAGAAGCTAAAAAGAGCCGTCAGGTGCTTAAAAAAAATAAACCTTAGAACAGGCTTTTCCCCGCAGCACACTGTGTAATAAATACTCCCAAAGAAAATTGCGGCTGGTTCAACTTCATGCACTTCATGCAAGTCGAGTTGCCCGAAATTCACAGAATTTACAGAAAATGTAAAATTTTTGTGATATGTATCGTTGTTGGGATGATAAATGTTTTATATCTACATATGAGATTTTGGTCATATCGCACAGCCCTAGTGCAAAAGATATTTTAAATTTCCTATGATAGGGATTTGTTCAAAGCGGAAATACTCATTGAGCAACAAAAGTATGTTTACTTTTGATTCTACATTTGTTTACACTGTCATTAAAGGCATTACATATATAAACTGCCAAAAAAAGGTGTATGGCTTACTAAATTTGTGGTATTTATTATTTGCTGACTTTAAGCCCAGCCTCACAGTCTGCATGTAGCCAGAAAAAATAGTTTTCCTGTGTCTGTCATTTGCACATGTGCCTCATTGTGTTTTGATTTTGTCAAGTCTTCAAGAAAAATGAGCTGGAAGACCTTTCAGGAACAATGGCAGTCACAACATCAGTGATTATAAATTACAAGAGCTATCACACATGACAGAGCCACCACATGTCTGTAATCCATCAATAAACCTGCCACACCCCCTCTTTATACTTTTTGCCAGTTGCAGTTGGGACTCAATGGACCCCCATGGGACAGCGCAGGGCAGCAGTAACATCAGCTGTAAATTACTGCAGATAAAGAGCTGGCTTTCCCTCTTTGATGACAGTCATGCCTGGAGCTTTATATGCAGCACCCATCTGCCCTAACATTTGGCCTTTCCTCTTTCCCTTTTCCTAACATATAGCCTGGCTTCTTGTATGAGAAAAATAGCCAAATTTTAAAACGAAATGAAAGCATTAACATACGTTGTTGTTCTCTTTGTGATGTCTGTATGCGTGAGCAGTCCTATTTAAACCTTTGTAGCAATGGGAATTGAGAACCAGTTCCAGCTGAGATCAGATTCCAAATTGTTCACTTAATTGCAATTGTGTGTGTGTGTGTGTGTGTGTGTGTGTGTGTGTGTGTGAAATCACCGCTGGCATGTTTTCTGTCATACAGTGTAAAATTATGTCACAGTTATGGTGATGAGGCTTTTCCACACCTAAGATGAATGGTAGTAGTCTTTTTTTTTTTTCTCTCTCTCTCATGCAAAAAACTGGCTAAGATGAAAAGTCCACCCTATAAGCAGAATTAGTAATGGTATTTGTATTGGCATTATCCACACCCTCAATAACGGCAGCTGGTAAGGAAACAAGACCAGAGTATCGCATGGTATGATTTAGTTTTGTTTCATAGCAGATAACAGGTCAGAAAGACAAATGAGTTAAAAATGGTTTTAATAAAGAAAAACATTTTTGCAGTTGAGTGAGAGGTAGAACATTACGAGTAGTCAAGTTTTTTGTGCACTTGGGGAGTATTTTTTTTTTTTTTTTTTTTTCAA